TAAAAGTTTAGGTAAGATATTTAGTTGTTGAGTAGTATTTAAAATTAAAGTTTAAAGAATTTGTTAAAGATTATATTTTTGGTTAGAACATGTAAAGAAATATAATATATCTTCTGGAGTTTGACAATAAATACATTTTGGAGTAGTATATATGAGTGAATATTATAAATTAAGATTATGCATAGTAGGTAGATTGTTATTAATAATTTTAAGACAGAATGTATAGAATTTTTAATCATTGTTTAGAGAATTTATAATCTCAACATTTGTTGACTATTTAATAGAGAATGGGTTTTGAAAAAATTTAAGTTGTAATCAAGAAAGAGTGATTATATAATAAATATCTTTTATAAAAATAGTTAGGTTTTAGTAGATATTTTGCAATTATGTTATTTAAAATAATTAGAAAATAGTACTATAAAGCTGGGTTTAATTAAGTGTTTAGAGATGCTTTGTTTTACTAAGAGATCAGCTTGATTATGAAAAAAATTATTAGAGTGAGATTTAACTTTGTGAAAAGAAATATTAAGAGATTTTGTTTGAATAAAATGATGGATAATAAATAAAATATCACAGTTTTTGATATATAAAAATTTGTATAAGAAAGAAAATAATTAAATATTTTTTAGAACTAATAGGTTGTCAAGATGTATATTACTTTGTAAGTTTATTGGTAGAATAAGTAAAAGGAAATAATTGCTTCAAATTCTGCTTGAGTAGAGTTAGAATATGAAGAAATTGCATAATTAAATTTGATTTGAGTATTATATTCAGAGACCATCCAATATCAATTTTTGGATATGATGTTTATGTATTCATAATTGAGACATCTATATAAAAATGTGTGTTATTTGGAAGATTTTTTGTTAATAGAAATGGATTAGTAAGTTAGTTTTGATAATGAGAAGAAGATATATTTTTTTGGATTATTTGAATTTCTGTATCAGGAATATAAATAGTTGATATTTAGAATAGTATAGAGGTTGAGATTACTTGTTATTGGATATTAATAAAGGCATGAATTTCATGATTATTAATATAGAATAAATAGTTATTATTCTTTTTTATTGATTTAATATAAGAAATATTAATAAAGATTTAAAATATTGATGTAGATAAGTCAGTAGAAATTAAAGATATTAAACCAGAAGAGATATTATAAAAAAAGAAAAAGTTAAATGAATTTTTTGTAAAAATAATTTGTGAATTATTAAAAACAAAAGACTATTTATTTAATAGTAATAAGTGATAAGAAGTAATTGTATCAAGAAAATTAGTAAAGATATTAATATTTGATAAATTAAGATGTGGTTATGTTTAAGAAATTGTATTGTTTTAAACAAGATTATAAAGTTTAGTAATCTAAGCAGATTAAAAAGCAAAAAAATTAAAAATGTTTTAGAACAAATAGTCAAAATATCTAAGCAATATAAATTAAATAGAAGTATATTTTAGAAAATAGAAAAAAAATGAATAAATAATATATGGCATATAAAATTATAAGCAGCTGAAAAAAATAATTGAAAAATATTAGTAAAACACTAACAAATACAAAGCAAAAATGCCAAATTAGTTATTAAAATAAATAAATATAATAGGTGTACAAGAAAGAAAAAACAGACAGAAGATGTCTGTCAACATTAAATAAAAGTAAACAACAAAATTAACTTGGTTTCAGATACATTAATAAAAAATAACAACAACAAAATTAAAATAACAATAGTTTGAATAATAAAGACAAACAAACTAAAAATTAAAAAACAAAAGTTTAAAGAACTTATAATAATAGAAAAACTAGAAGTAAAGATTATTAGATACAGAAACTAAAAAAAATATTAGTTAAGAAATAATAGAAGTCTTAAGAAGAAACATAATAAGAAACAAGAATAAATTTATAGTATACACAGATGAAGCAGCAAATATAAGAGCCAGAAAAAAAATATTAACTAAAAATAATATGAATATAGGATGGGTTCAAACAAATAAAATATAAGAATAACCAAAAAAGAGAAAAAAGAGAGATATAAGTATATTACATTGGGTCATCTGATTGATAATCTGAATAGTCCTATTAATTTTGAAAAATAGTTAGTAAAGAAAGATAGAAATAATATCAAAAAGATAAGTACTAGAATTTAGATAAACTTTACAAAGATAAAAATAGTTTAATAGTTAGTTTTGATTGTAAATGTTAGTCTTAGTTATATAAAACTAGACTAACTATAAATAGAAATACAGATGACTTTAAAAGTTTATTTTAAAAATAAATTAGTCCTAAAGTTTAAATAAAAATCTAGATCTTGAGTATTCTAATAAAATTAATACAAAAGTTTCAAGATTAGAAGGTTTAAATAGAATGTTCAAGCAGAAATATTAGTTATAACAATTAGTAGAAAGCTTTTAGACAAACTTCTTCAATAGATAATATAAAAAAGTTATACATATAATCAGTTGTATGTTTCTTTTGTATTAGTTCAATATAAATATATATTTGATAAAAGTGTTAATAAAATTAAAATATCTAAGAGATTACTTTAATACCAAAAAAATACTAATAATAATCAGCAAAAATATTATATATTATTAGTAATCTTGAAGATTAATATTAATATATGATATCTTTAAAAACTTTCTAATAATAACTAAAACCTTGTTCAAAAAACAATATATTATAATTAACTTAATTATATTTGAGATAGAAAATTTCAAATAATAATAAATTTTGTTACTAATATGTAAAAAGATACTTTTTTCATAACACAGATAGTGTAATTATTAATAAATTTTTTAATGATTTCTTGTTTAATCTATCATCATCTTTCTTAAATAAATTTTAATAACTATTTTTATTTACTGTATTGATCTACTTTAATATAAATTTTATAAAAAAACTTTATACATTTTTTTAACAATCAAAATTAGCTTATTATTTTTTTATTATTATTTTAAATTTATCAAAACTTATTTTTTCAAGATGAAATCATTTTTTTTACCTAGTTTCTAATGTTTTTGTTACTAATACTAACATTATTGAAATTTCTTAAAATTAGTTTAATTTGATTATAAAGCTTTATATTTATTAATACTTTTGATTTTTGTATTCTGACAGGTCAATTATGTAATTATTAACAATGTCAAAAAAGTTTTTGAACTAATAAATTCAAATTCTATCTTTAATAGTAAATGCATTATTAAATGAAGATATTTATAATGAAGATACAATTGAAAACTATTAGATATTATATCTTATAATCAGATTATTCTATTTATTTGATTTTTTTAAAATTTTTTAATTGCATCATTTTTTATTTGATAACTTTTGACTTTCTAATTGATTACTTTATTTTTCATACATTGCTATTTGATGCATTATTATACTATTTTTGTATTACAAATATTTATTACCTTTTTTTTTTCTTTTTGACAATCTTGTCATTAACCTTTATTAAGATTTATATTTACAAATTTGTACATACTTTGATATAATTTACTGGTTCAACATCCTTTAACTGCTTCAATGAGTGCCTAGAGGCAGTCTGCTGCACCAGTTGGATAATACCTGGATCCAGAGGCTGTACCAGACTAGTCTAAAAGACCATATGAAAATGGTTTTACAAATATTCATTATCTGCCTAACTACTTTTATTAAATTTTATTTTTATAATTTGTTTTATATATGTCAACTAATACTATTCATTTAATTATTCCAATTCACTGAATACAGCGGATATTGTACATTGGTAACAAGGTACTTTAGCGAAGAGTCAAATATGACAAAGAACTATCCATGTATAAATTATATAAGTCGAAACTTTTTTTTTGTTATTTAGTTAATGCGTCAGATGACAGCTGACATACCTCAGATCATCTGAGGCGCTTCTTCTAACGATCGATATTTGAGGTGCTGTCACCTGACGCAAGCATCGATCTCAGGCACAACATATATATTATATTCAGTATATTATTTGAGTGCTGCCAAGTGAAAACCTGCAATAGCGACTTTTGGATTTTCTCACCTTTTTTTAAGCCCAGATCGTCATGATAGGTCTGTCTATTCTGTAGAGCTTGAACATTAACCAATTTATGTTCATCCGGATATATTCTTTAATCACAAGACCTACCATGACGATTTGGGCTTAAAAAAAGGTGAGAACTCCAAAAGTCGCTATTACAGGTTTTCACTTGGCAGCACTCATTTGTAATTTTCTTTATTATTTTTGTATATATTTTTTCATAGGGATGATTTCAATCGATAAATTGAAGGTAAATGTTAATTAGTCAGTTTATTCGATATTGAATAGTTAAAATTTTGCCTCAGATTCATAGAGTAAGATACTTAAGAACTAATAAGTATAAAATCATATATTAAACGAAGCATTTGAAATAATCTACGTGATTTTTTATTGGCTGCTTTTTATCTATGCTAATTTGGTTGCCGAGTTAGTCTCTTGGATTAATTTAATTAGTAAATTTAACAATTATTTATTATAACAAAGCGTCGTTGAGAAAATCTGAAGTGTGACTTAAAAAGTTCACTGTACTGGGCTTATATCAAGAAAATATGAATTAGTTTTTTTAAAATACTTCAGGCATTTGTCAATGTAATCATACTGGTCCTGTATGGTATCATGGTACTGTGAAGCTACCTAATTAGATTGAAGATCAGAATTACCACTAAAACGAAAGATAGAGGTAATACTAATTAATAAATATCTAAATCTAGTGATTCTTACAAAAATACTAATAACCTTGCATATTGGGAAACCGAGAATTTTATTAAAAGTATGTCAGTACGACATGAAATTGCTATATGCAAATTATTTTTAAAAAAATGAAAATTTCGTTCAGAACAAATCGACCTATTTTACTCTTTGTATTCAGTTTCTATTCTTTTTATTCATCTTCTCTTTAAATATTTATACACATTTTATATTCAAAATTTTTTTTCTTACTCTCCATATTAAATCGTCGTATAATCATTATTTATTCAGATTTTAAAAATGATTCAATTTTTTACATCTTTTATTGTTTTCGTTGTCTTTATTCTTGAATTTACTTCATCTCGTAAGTTATAAATTATATTTCAATATTATATTGCGAATATAAAAAATTGCATGAAAATTAGGACTTTTTTAGCTTATAGGTTTTATTAAAATGATTAGATTACTAACTTGATTATTTTTGACACCATGTAGAAGTTTACGATATAACTGTTCCAAACAGCATTGTTAGGGGCAATGTCTTGAAAATAACCTGGGAAGTAATAAACGATAATGGTATGGCATACGAAATGTACTGGGTATCAAAGGATGATCCTAGTAATTATGGCAACATTATCCTTCTTACTGCAGAAGAACAGGCGCGAAGAGAATATTATTGGCCAGTAAATATACTTCCTGGAAGCTATTACATCAGTATAAATAATTTAGAGTCCAATACTTTCATTGTCATTCAAAAAGAAAGTGATATTAATAACATTTATTATGGAGGTTACTCATATATGTGCGTGATTAATGGTGAAATGCCTGATAACCATGATACTCCTTCTGACACACCTGATACTGATACTTTTGATACACCTGATGATACTTCTGATAACGATTCTTCCTATGATGACGATTCCTTCCAGCAAGATGATTTTTACTAAAAATAATGGCAATATAATAATTTTTAATGCTCAGAAAAATATGTATTATAATGATTTATAGAAAAGTTATATTATTGCTTTTATTAATTTTTTGAAGTTTAAACAAAATATCAAGTCTTTAATATATGAATAATAAACCAAAATTGACTTAATATTTTTAGAAAGGATACTGAAAATAAGCCATAAATTAGCTTTATACTTTTTTTTCGACTATTACTAATTTTCAGTCTATCTGGTTGTATTAAAGCCAATCAGCTCATAGGATCTTGTATAAATAAAAAGCGAAAAAAAAGAAAAAAATCAAAAAGATTTTAATAATTCAAACACTTTTTATTAAAACCATGTTTTGACTTTTAAACAAAAAAGTTTTCAGCATCAAATTTTACACATATTTAAATCTTCATACTCTGACCCAAGGCTAACTCTAATTTCTAATCGTAATATTTTATTTTTAATAAAATTTCATAATGCCGGGTGATATCACCTAGGGTGAAAATTAGTTGTAATCTTTTTCCCTAATACGTATCAGCATCCTTTTTAATGTAAAAGTAAATAAAGGTTTCACGTGCATGTAAAGATTTTAACGTATAAATATATTTTATGCACGTTGTACGTATGAATTTTTTTGCATCACAAAAATATTTCATTTTTTGTAGTTTGCATTCATCGTGACATTGCTGAAAATTTTAAATTTATGAAGCATACGTGAATTGGCCATAATCAGCTATCAATATTTGATCAAATGTATTTAAGGCCTGTAACAGATAAATTTTAAAGCACGTAGGAGATATTTTTGGTGATAATTATATTAAAGTTTATTTTAATCAGTGCGTCTTGTAATTGAATGAAAATCAATAGTAATTGGGACAAATTTCTAAAAATAAGCAGAGATGAAATAAACATATGTTCTATTATTAAGCAAGAAAGAAATCATCTGCTATGGTTTACAATAATTTTACTTAAAACTTAGAATTTATAACGAAGCACGATTTATTGTTATTGTGCTTTTGAGCCTTGTCTATGACATGAGCTATATTTGTTTACTTATACGGCAAATGTGCTGTATTGCCGTTATAGTTTTGCCAAGGGCAACTACCTTAAATGTTTGCTCAAGTAAGAGTCTAAAATCCTAGCCTAACACAAACAAGATCCTACAGAAAACACACTAAAAAGCTAATAAAAAAAAAAACCAATAAAAAACGTATAATCGAGGTACTAGTTTTATTGGCGTCAAACTATTTTTAACCTCAGTAACCTTAATTAAAAATCTTAAACGTGATATTTCGGAGTGTCATCATATGTTCCAAGAACATGGAATATGAAAAATGAAAGCTCTTTCTATTAGCGATAAATAAAGAATATCTTGATTAATAAAAACTTCTATCGTAGTTTTATTTTGCAAAATATCATAATTTTGAGGCCATTACACAAACTACAGTTGATGTAATTCATCTGATAATACAAAGACTGGCAAAAAATATACTATATTTAATATAATTATTTATTCAGAAATTTTAAATTTATATAATTAATTACTTTCGCAATACCACCTCTTCTATTTAATAATAATATTACAATAATAAGAAAATACGTCAAGAATTTATAGATCTTTCTTTTAGTAATTGGTTTAAATTTATCTTTGTTATAAAGTGTAATAGCTTCTCTTGCACCATCCCAAGAGTTCCTTCCTAGTAATCGATACTATAAAAAATATATAAATAAATTTAGTAAGTAAATAAATAAATTTCACATTGCCATTGTAATAAAAATTTACGCACTTGAATAGGAGTAACCATGCCGAACATAATTAATTTCCAAAATTTAAAACCAAACTTTTTAATTATCTCGTAAGAATAAGGATAACATCCAATGTCTTTACTTAAAGTATCCATATAGGATATATAATTTAAACGAATAGCACTACGAGCGGCTTTACAACAATTTCTATGAATACTTTCATAATAGCTACGTATAGATTTCTCCATTTTGGATTGTGATGGGAGTTTGATAAATCCTTTAATATGACTTGTTACGTAACGTGCTTGCATCTCACTTTTTTTAAAAAAAATTTAATAAAAGAATAGTAGTATTTTATAAATAATTTAATGCTCATAACTCATAAACTCACCTAATTGGCCAGATAGCGCCAGCTCCTAATACCAATCCAAGAAAAGCGATATTTGGATACTTTGGAGGAAATAACATTTTATATAAGCAAACTAAATCACGAAAATCTTTTCCAAATTCTTGCTCAATTTCATCCCCACCGGTAAAAATCTGCTCTTCTAAAAATGGATAATCAATATAATAACCAGTGGAATAAATAATAGTATCAATGTCTTCCAAGAAAGTCCCATCAACAAATTCAATTTGTTTATTTTCTGATTTTAATTCCTTAATGTTCGGTTTCACAATAACTGTACCAGCTGCGAAGCACTGAAAGATTTCAAAATTTATAGTAGGAAGTGTTGCAATTAAAGGATCAGTGGGCTTTAGGTGAGAAGGGAATGGAAAATATTTAATAATACTATTTTCTGTCATTTTGCCTCTAATAGAAGGTGGAATCATATATGCTGAGAAACGAGATGTACGATGGTCACGAGCTTTACCATTTACAAATCGTGGTATTATCCATGGAAGTTTTCCTGTATAAAAATAAATAAAATGATAATTGCAGGGATATTAAAATTAATATATTAAATATAAAATTTACCTCTACGAATGCTTAAGTATACTTGTGATGCGGCATGAGTTAAATCAACCGCAATGTCCAATGCACTAAATTAATTGATTAATAAGGTTTCTTTATATGAATCTTATACAACATACAGTAATATTCTATACCTATTTCCACAACCAACAACCAAAACACGTTTGTTTTCAAAACCTACAGCTCTAAATAAACAAAAAATTCATTAATAATAATTATCATAATACTGTATATACTCATATCATAAATGAGTAAGTTACAAATAAACTTACCGTTTATATTTGTGAGAATGAATTTGTTCACCTTTAAACAAATCCATTCCTTTATATTCAGGCCATCTAGGTTTACGATGATGACCTGAACAGACCATCACAAAATCAAAAATCTCTTCTTTTTCTTCATTCTCATGTTGAATAATATATTTAACCTTCCAACGTTTATCAGGAAGAATTGATACATTTAACACAGTAGTATTAAATTTAATGTGAGGCAAAAGATTAAATTTTTCAGCGTACATATCAATGTATCTGTGTTTCAAAAAAGGTAATGAGAAATTGCAAACTAAATAATAAATAAATGAAATATATTGAAATAAGATTACTTTTCTACTAAAGAAATATTCAAATAAGTTGGCCAGTCTGCGGGAATTGGAAAATCCGAAAACGTTGTCTATTTTAACAATGGTACAAACAGATCACTTACGAATTCAATAAAAATTAAAAGAATAAAAAAAAAACTAACCATTTCCTTTGATGTATTGGTTAAAATACTTTTATAAATTGAAGAATAAGGTTCTTTATTTTTTTCGCTAACATTTTCATATCTCCATATCCCACCGATAAAAGAATTTTGTTCAAAACAAATCGGAATCAAATCATTGTCTAAACATTCTTTTATAGCTGCTAACCCCGAAACCCCTGTTATAAATTTTAATTAATTCGGTTGTTTCGAGAATTCTATATTCAAACATGCCTTTAAATTTTGTAAATATCTTACCTGCACCTATAATTGCAATATGTTTAGCCATGATAGTTTTTTTCTGCATTTGCATTTCAGAAATTTATGTATCCATACGGCGAATATTATTTCTGTATGGGGAATTGATTATCCACGAAACTAATCTTTTATGGAAGGATCTTGACTGGTAAATAAAGCAGCTAGTATTATTAATGGTTAGAGTTGTATCTTATAATTTTAATAGCGATAGCTACAGTTGATTTGAGTTTAATATCGATATCGATGGTCAAGATGTCTTGTCATGTGTAAAGGTGCAGGCGGAACTTAAAGCATCGGGACTTGCCGTAACATAACTGAGTGGGTATATTCCGTAACTCAATTTTATATGTCGAAACTTGTCGTAACTTGTTATATCGTCTTTGTTTAGGCTGATTGGACAGGAAATTTTCTTTTCAGATGAGCTTTTTGATTATCATCAATTTCTTGAGATGTAATAATTTCATTCCACACTTGAAGTGGTTTTTGGAAGTAGGAGATTGGCATGTAAGAAGTTAATTGATGTTATAATTCAATTCAGATAATGGGAAGGTATCATTATTTAGAACCAAAATGTCTTTGTTCGCATTCGTTGCAGAAAAAAATTCGTTAATAGACAATAATTTCAAGAAAATCTTTAACCTATTTTTATTACGTATAAACATATAACCTTTTTTATTACATCATTGATCGATATATTACTATATTTCATGAATATCTAATTAATTACATATATATTGTTTGTAATAATACAGCACTTATGATTCATGCGACAATTAGGATTTATACGGCATTTGGGATTCATGCGGTTTTTGCCGCAACCGTAACCACAACTTGCTGTGTGTCGTATGGTTAATTGGCATGCACCTCTAGTCATTGTAATTTGACGTAAAATATGAAGGTAAAATATTTGCCCGCAAAAGTTTATCGTTTAAGGATAATATAGATTTTATTTAATTACGAAAAGGCAACTGAAAATTCATAATGTACTTATTGATTCCTATTTTTAGCTCAATAGAGTTATCGAAACCTGAGACTTATTAAGGAGCAAATATACAATTTTATATCGATATACAATACCGATATAACAGTATTTTAACAATTTGTTAGAAAAACTTTATTTCAATTTCAAAATACAGTATCTTTTCGAAATGATCATTTCGTTTTAATATAGCTGAGAACAAATTTTAGCATCAAGTAAAAAAAATTTCCAAGAAATTTTACTGTAGAATAGGCCTTTTTTGTAACCGAAGAATAAATTTTGGATCAAAATTAAACATTTGAGACCATTAGCTTAAATTATTTTAATTCAGGCCAAATTGGTTGCTGCTCACTTTCTCGAAGTCGTAATACGTACCGACAATCCATTTTTACTAACAGGACAGAAACAGGTCAATGTCATTTCATTAACTGACAAGTTTATTTCACTGACAGTCTTTCACTGAAAAAGTAATTTTGGTCGTTATCGTTAAGTTAGGTTTAGTTAGGTTTAAAATTAGGGTTAGGGTTAGTGTGAGTTTTAAAAAAATCCGTCAGTAAATAAACTTATTGGTTAATTAATTTTCGTTGAAATAACACAGACCTATTCCTGTCCTGTTAGTAAATGGATTTTCGGTATTACGACTTCAGTTAAATGGTATTTCAGAAAAATAGCAGAAAAATAGATTCGGAAAGTTAAACCGGAACCGACCAGATTGCCGTGTATTTTCTGTGCAGCAGTTAAGTACAATAAAAAATCAATTTAAAACTTTACTAATACAATTACGATAAACTTTAGGTGCCTGATGCAAGATCTAGGTTTATGAATTAAATTTCAGTCAGGTATAATTTCAAGTCAATGGTTCGACATAATTTCCCCAATTTTGAAGAATTGTACATATTAGTACATGAAACAGTGCTTAATATAAATTTAAGACATCTTATTTATTTTATTTGTTAAAAGAACTACATTCAACACATCTCTTCTCATATAAAAGACAACAACTTATCAGATGAAATTACATGAGTTATTATGTTTTTAATTTACTGAATATGGATTGGTGTTGATAAGTCAATAATTATCAAAAGTCTGCAGTAGTACTCGAACTAGAGTTGGCACTAAATGTATATACTTTAACTTTTAATAAATCATGAGTATTTTGAATAGAATATAATTTATTAAAATATTCAAAAGCCGAAAATCATAAGCATTAAATTCATCAAGTAACACTATATATATATATTTTTTGAGCTAATCTCTAATTACGCATAGTTTCAAACTTATAAAAATATATAAAAATGCTTAATAAAAGTTATATACACACAGATTAAATAAACTAAATAAAATATGCAGGTCGAAAAGCTAGAAGTGAATATTTGAGCTTTAACCATAGCGAATTTAATCCATGATGAATTCTGATGTTACGTGATTTATTATGTGTATACGTAATCAGTGTCCTAATCAATTAAACGGTAACGTTACGAACCAGAGCCAGTAGATTTTAGTAGTAGCAAAAATAGCACTAGAGATATCACAAACACAAATAACCAAATCTGATCGAAATTGTTCCCTTTTAATTCTATAGCTTGTCGTGATATCGCTAGTGCTATTTTTGCTACTAGTAAAATCTACCGAACTATTAGGACATGGTACGTAATACAGTAAACAAGTGCACCCTATATAAATGCACATCCTCTATGAATGCACACTCAAATTTGGACCCAACTATATATATGACCTCCATAAATGCAAATTTTCCTTTTTTTCCCTAAGTACACGCTGTTAAATTTTGGCCACAAGAGCGTGCACTTATAGAGGTTTTACTGTAGCACTTTAAAAGCATTATACCTTATTATAATATTTATAAATAAATGTTTAAAATGTCTTATTCAAATTTACACTTATATATTTCCCTTGGAAAAGGCATAAGATCACCAACTAGAAATATTAATCATAAAACTAGTTAACGATAAATTTTTATTATAGAAATTTTATTATAGAAATAGAAAAAGATTTTTATATATAGAGTTTTAAATAATATTTCTTGAAATCAAATCATTTACCAAATTACATGTGTTGATGTATTAGTATGAATTTTTTTCAACGCATTTAATTCTATATTACTAAATTTATTGTGAAAAAGATTTAAGGAAGTTAAAGTAACATTTTTGTAAAGAGCCTCTATTATTGCCTTTCCATCTTCAAATTCAAGCCAATTATAAGAAAGATCTAAAGAAGTTAAAGTAGTATTTATACGAAGTGCCTCTGCTAATGTTTTTCCTTCTTCATTACCAATCATATTTATACTAAGATTTAAAGAAGTTAAAGAGATATTTCTACAAAGAGCGTCTGCTAGTGTTTTTGTGCCTTCAAAACTAATGTGATTACCACGAACATCTAAATGTGTTAGAGTAGTGTTTATACTAAGTGCCTCTATTAGTGCCTTTTCATCTTTAAAATCGAGTTCGTTAAAAGAAAGTTCTAAAGATGTCAGTGTTGAATTTGTACTTAGAACTTTTGCTATTGCCCTTAATCCTATGGAACCAATATTATTACGACCAATATTTAGAGAAACTAAATTAGTGTTCGTACAAAGAACGTTTGCTAATAATTCTGTTCCCTCAGAACGAAGTCGATTATTAGAAATGTTTAAAGAAGCTAAAGTTACATTCTTACAAAAGACCTCAGTTATTGCTTTACATTTCACAGGATCAATTTGATTATATGAAAGGTCTAAAAAAGTCAAGGCGGTACATTTACAAAAAACCTCTACTAATAATTTTATTGCCTCAGAATCAAATTTATAAACATAAAAATCTACAGAAGTAATAGTTGTATTTCTATAAAAATTTTTAAACATTATTTCATTACAAATAGCTCTATTAAGAGATAAATGTTCAAGTCTTTTACTTGTTCGTAAAAACATTCCAATTAAAGAACATTTAATAGCTTCTATAAGTACATCACCATCTTCTCTATATAAATCATAAGTAAAAGATTTATCCATTTTACGTCCTTCATTTTCAAACCAATTTTTAATCCCCTTTTTCAAACAAAGTCCAACAACTGTAGTATAACTTGCATATTCAAATAATGGTTTTGGATAATTTGGAAGGATAATTTGAAAAGGAATAAGTAAGGCTTGTTCTTCAGCATTTAATGATAAAAGATATATTCTTATAAGTCTTGTATCATCGAAATGAGCTGTTGGTTCATTCCATAATAATGGCATAACAAATCTACACCATTGACGGTTTACAAGAATACATGAAAATAAACTATTATAATAATTCTTATTATAATCATTCTTGAGGTTATTAAATATCTCGAAAAAGCATTCATTTGGTAATGCTATCATTTTTTTATTAAAAAAGGATTTAAAAAAAACCCCCCATTACGTAATACTGTATTTATAATCCCTAATTCCAAAGTGAAATGTGAAACGTTGTGCATTCGCCGAATTTGGAGAAATGTGTATTGTACGTTGTAATCGTAAAACGGCGAGTCAGTCGCTAATCGGTCGGATCTCTCGTGTAACCTTTAGGGTCGGTAAATCG